AAACAAGACTTGTGGCAACTTCTAATTTGTAATTAATGTTTCCAATGGTTAATTTATCATCCACTAAAAGAGCTCCTAATTTGTTTAATCAAAGGAAAAAAGGACTCTCTAATGATTATAAAAGAGAGATTCTACAAGTCCACCATTCTTAGTCTATTCCAATATATTATTCCTTCAATATCTTTTATTGTTTCCCAAAAATCAAGTGTCCAGTATAATACGAAAGAAAAAGCAAGTGAAACTCTTGCCCATGCCCCATAATTTAGGGTCTTGTGGCTATAAAAAAATAAAACACCAAGAAATTCACATTAAAAGGAAAAACAAACAAACACACACACACATATTAAAGAAAGATTGTTCAACCAGATCTTGTGCGAACAGGCATCCACTGATCAGAGTCCCTTGCCAACTCTTCTTCTGACCACTTAGTCCATGTCTTAGTGTCTTTGACCTCATTATTTGCATCAGCAGAAGCATCAATGCCAAGCTTTTTCAACAAAGCTTCAGTATCATCATCCTGCTCATCATCTCTTGCATCAGAGACATCACCAGATTCCTCAATAGCCATGTCACTAACTCTATCATTTTCCAGAGCTTCCATCATATCCTTGGTTTTAGACGGCGGATCTGACCAACCTGTCCAACCACCCTCTTCAGCTTTATGAGATAGCTCCTCGTTAACAATCTTCTGCCTCTGTTCTTCCTCTTTTCCCAGCCATGTTGACCAGCCTAGAGCACCATCTTCCCCAACTCTAGCACCATTACTGTTCCAAAAATGCTCGAAAAGTCTTCGCTTACTTTGCTCACTAAGAAGTAAAGATGGACAAAACAAAGTATATTCAATCTCTGCCTGAAATAAAGCAGTAGCCAACTCATGGTACCCAGCCTGCCATTCAAAATGGCAAAGGCTAAGAAATATATCAACTAAACCAAGTTCTAGACGAACAAGTTCTGGATCAGAAGAAGGTCCAGTAGTATGTCGTTGAACCTGCAGTGAACATAATCAACTCATTAAGGGTTCAACTACACACAATTTATTCAAAGCAGAATGAAAAACCAGAAGGAAGGGGGGGGGGGGAATTTAACTATGAGGTCAGTTAGAGAAAGGCCAAGAAGAGAAAATTGAACAAATTATCCTCTGCTACATATTAATAGCTAATCTCACATTCCAAAGGTGTTTAGGTATGGGATAAATCCCGTGAAAGTTTGACCAAATGTCGAAATTAAAATTCAGTATCAGGAGTTACGTGAGAGGGAGAACCTGCCTATACTGCTTGCTACATGCACCAGATAGAGCTTGGACTGCATTGGCATACATTTTCCTCATCTCAGATATCTTAAATCTAGAGAATTCACCCTGAAAAACCTGCAAAAACTCCTTCCATAACCTGTGACTCCCAGAATTCTGCACAAGTATCTTCTCCCATCTACCAATCAGAACATCAGTGCTATCCCTACTCTGATAAGCTTTCATAAGAGAAAGAACTAAATCTTCGTTATCTGGATTTAGTTCTGTTGCCTTCTCCAGTATACTAATCTTCTTTTCAAGAGTCTGCAGACGAGCACCCTTCTGTGGCTGCATCCTGGCCACCTTGTCTTGAAAATCAGCAAAAGCTAACCAAACTTTCTCATCATGCGGCTTTTCTCTTGTCAACTTGTTAAACTCCTTGGTTTTACGATAAACCTCATCTTCCCATGACTCCTCAACTACTTTATCCCCTGAAGATCTGAAATTGGGACCCCCATCATCCGATAAAGGGATGAATTCAGCAGCTACAGTTGGAACGATCTTTTGAGGAGCAAGAACCCTAATTCGCTTCAAGTTCTTATGCCGCTCTAGTGCAGCAAACATTGCTGACCAATAACGACCCTCCAATCTAAGTTTACCATCCAGTCCATCAATATCATCATCTCCATCCAAGACTGAGCTCTTCTGGCTCCGTCTATAGAAGCTAAGATCAGAAAATTTTCTTGAATTTTTGAGCTTGTAGCGAGCCACATCCATCCTGCATATAGCGTATAGTATTACAATGAGAAGTAACCCATAATATGCAGTTGGTCATTGGCTCCATCCCCATTTTATCCAATTTGGATACATTTACATGGTGAAAGTTGTTGATGGAGTTGATTGATTCCTGATTCCAGTGAAAGAAAAAGGGCTCCAAAGCTAGCAAGTTTAGGATGAAAAATTGGAAATCAATCATTTTACAGCTTGCAAAATTTTAAAAACCAAACTCTTACATCAGTTCCAAAAGTAACTGACTTCTGAGAATGGCTAACTGTATCACGTAAAATGGACAAAAGAAGCACATAAATTACAAACTACAGGAACTAATGTAGGTCAACAAATCAAGAGTTGCTTCTTTCATACAAATGCCTATGGCATATGCCGATAACTGAAAAAAACGCCAAGCAATTACCCGTTTCAATCAATTAACATGAAAAGTCTTAAACTTTGTTTACATAATAAACTGAAAACTAAAGAGCAGTTTCTACAAACTCCTTAAATTTGCTATCTTCTGTCTCTACTCCGATAATCCAGAGAAAATGTATCACTATTCCCATAATAAAATTTACTTTTGATTCATCTATAGGAACAGCTTAACAATCTTGATTTTCTAAATTCCCAAACACTAAAAGGTATCCAAATTGTCCAAAATCTTGTCACGAATTTAAGCAGAGTAGAATTTAACTAATTATTTCTGCAAATACCTGTAAATACAACCGAAGGCCAAATTATCGCGGTCGCCCTTAGAATCAAAGTAATACTCTTTAGTACTACCAGTAGTATCTGAAGTAGAAGAAGCCCAAGCTCGAATATCAGGTTTTCGAGAAGAAGAAGAAGAGGATGCGAGTCCGTATTCATGCAATGAGGCTGCATTACTAGATAATTCCCTTCTTCTCCTCTTCTTCTTCTTCCTCTTCCGATTTTTCCTCTTCTCTGTCATTTCTTCGTCATCACTGTACGAGCCACGATCCGAAGCGGACGAGTCTATCAACTCATATTGTGGACGCGCCAATTTTTCTTTACTTTTCTCTGCCCTTTCTTCGTCTTCTTCCGACGATAATTCTTCGAGTTGAGCTTGCTGATAGTGGGTGGATACGGCGTCGTTTATGACGGTGAGGTCGGTGGTGAAGCTGGTGTTCCGAAGCCATTCCGGAGCGTTATCCTCGTCGCCGGTGGAGGATTGAGGACGAACGGGGAACAGCGACGTCGTTTCGGGAACGGTGGTTCCGGCGCCTGCCCTTTCCATGTGTTAGCTTAGCTCTGTTTCATGTAGACTGCAGAAGGAAAGCAACTGTTAATAAAACAGCACCGTTTGGGAATTTTATCATAATTGCATTTAACTCCTCAGAGTTTGCATATTTAGCGGTTATCGGTTTTAATGCTAGTGTATTTTTGTTTTCCTCCTTTTGGTGACGTATTTGACTTAATTATTTTCCCAAATTTATCAGACTAAATATTTTTGTTAAATAAAAATATCAAAATAATTAACAAGTAGCAATTGACGGTGATTGGTTATTATTTTGGCATAGAAGCATTGACATAATTAAGTTGATTGAAATATGACGTAACAACCAATTGTGATTAGCGGTGAATTACAACAGGAACAGTAACATCAAAGCGTGAAGACAAAAATCATGCATCATATTTAATTGGATTGGTCAGAATGCATTATCATTACATATGGACAACAAACTTATTAAATATTAGAAATCAGAAAGATCTGGAAGTAGACAAGAGGAAAATTTATTATAATAATTTGATGTCTGTAACGTGAAAAGATTTTTGAAAAATATATTTATAAAAAATGTGAAAATTTTTCTATAAAAAATTAGCAATCTAGACAAATTATTTTTCAACTTGTTGTAAGGTAGCAGAGTCAAACTAATACGTAGGAAGTAGTACAGCAAACTAGGGTCTTGTTTGGCAGACAAGTTTTCTGTCAAGTTTGTCTGTTATTATAAGTTTTTTAAAACTTTTAATTATAGTAACCTTAAAAAACTTTTAAAAGTTTTTAAACTATACACTTCAAAATATTCAAAAATTTACACACTTCAAAAATTTTTTTAAAAACTTTTATAGTAAGTTACAGTAAAGTTTTAAACAAACACCTAAAAAAACTCACTTGCCAAACGGGACTCTATACAAAGATAATTTTAAGATAGATGACGGAAATCTAGACATGTCGTCATAGCTTTTTGAATTAATCAATTTCATCTTAACTCAAACTTAACATCAATCCAAGCAAGAAGCAGCAAGTAACCAACCATTAGTGGCCGCATTATTTTGACCTTGGAGTGCTCACGTAATTGAGTGTTAATTAATTAAAGAATGACGTGATAGGTGTTTTGTGATTAGTGCTGAAATACAATTGTCATTTGGACACAAAAACATTGAAGCACAAAAGTCAAAAATCTTATGCGTACGTGATAGATACTAAAAATAGTACTCATTTGGATGGGACCATGATATCATGCTGCATATTATTATTGCTAATAAGCAACAAACTTGTCAAATAGTGAAAATTGGAACAATCTAGCAAATGGACGAGTTAATTTAGTAATAAGCAAAACCCTTCTTTTGAACTTCATGTCATGTGTAGATCTAGAATCGTTACCATAGCTTGTGAATATTAATCAAATTTCGTCTTAATTCAAACGGTGAACTAAATATGACGGATTTTGCCATTCGTTAACTACCATAGACAAAAACACACAACGCAAAACATTCATCAAAACGTCATTTATTATTTCACTATCTCGGATTTCTCATTCTAATTACATGACTTTGATAAATGATAAGTATACATTCCCCTCTCGAGAGCTTAGTCTTTTATATAAAACGAAAAAACCAGCTCCCTTCAAGATATACATACATATTAGGGGATATGCAATATATGTATAAATGGTCTTTCCTAGATGAGCATCTATCACGGACAAGGGGCACAAACGGTTGCAGGTGCAATGCAGGTGCAACCGTTTCTGTCGGTTGTGTGTATTTTTTACCGTGCGTAACTTTGATTACACACGGTATAACTTTTTTTGCATACGATGTAACTTTAGAACAAATTTTTGTGAGTCTCACACACGGCGTGAAAATCGAGTTATAAGATATGATCTGAGCCGCACAAAATTTTTTGGCCAAATCATGGCCGTCAACTGCCAGGACAACCGTTCCTGGCCCATTTCCATCTATCACATAAGGCTAGTCTGTAAATCTAACGTTGTAGAAGCAAAGATCCAAAGTAATGCACATGCAGCATTTAACAATATTCCAATTCTTGAATCCTTTCGATCGATCGAACTCAGCGAAGGTTGTAGTTGCTGTCCTATATTCTGCTGCAGCGACGACTGAACAATGATCAATGGAGGGCTCTTGGACTGTAGGAGGAAGATCCAAACATCTGCTCGAGGACGATAACAAGGGCCATAGCCACGGCCGACTCAATTCTGCTGCCAGGCTCGTGTACTATAAGCCGAAACACATCCAACCCGAAGACCAGCCCTCCGACGGCTTCCTTCCGCTTGATCTCCGCCACTCCCCTCCGTTTGTCATCATACACCACACAACACCGTTGCTTGTAAGAGCCTTCAATCTCGTACACTAACTTCTTCTTAGGAGAAGAGGAGGAGGAGGGCGATGACGGTGATCCACTGTCACAGCAAGAGAGGCAGCTCACTTGAGCTAGTGATCTTGAATTCAAGAAATTCACTTGCTTCCTCACGGAAAACCGGGGATTAGCCGCTTCCTCGCCCTCGAACACTAACCAATTATCCGCAATACTCAGTCTCTGCATCCACATTAATCGTGCAAAACCATTGGATTAATTACAGCAGATTATATGGATTAATCTTTCGTATACTGCGAGCGAGTGCAGAGATCGAATTATACTAGTGAGTTTGGATGCAGTAAACGACGTCTCCACCACATAATATTTCAAGATTTCCAAAATTTAAATGAATCAAGACGTATGACTTCTTGATCCAAAACAAATACTACTAGCAAGTTTGATATAACAACGTTAGCAGAACCAAAAACAGTAAGGAGACGCTATATATATATATATAGTACCTTGCGACGGATGGTTAGCAGAGACTTGCCAGACGCGTCCATAAGAACGATCTCTCCTTTAGCACCGGACATGTAATTGTCCACCCGAAAGACCAAATCTCCCTCGGCATCAAACACAGTAAAACCATCGCAATTAAACAGCAAGGATTTCTTCCAAACAGTCAAAACCACTGGCCCCCCATCCAAGTTCCCACCATGATCAATAGCCAATGGTTGTTTTGGCTGATCAACCTCCTTGAAGGAAGTTGCATTTGGGTATACCCTTGTCATTAATAATCCAAGGAATATTGCAGGATTAGCTAGGAACGGAGAAAGAAATTGGTGTTAGATTTGTGGTTCAAGCTGGATGATGTGTAGTTTGGAAATTGTGTGTGGCATCCTATATATATTACTGGATGGGGCAGGAAAGTCCGCTGTCCAAACGCGCATTGGCGTGTGACGACATGATAGCTACTGTGATGGCTACAGACGAAAAGTAAAACAAGGCATATGCATGGCTGCATTCTATCTCAGGTTCCAAATTTGCGTCTGATTACATTTGTTTATCTTTTTTATATGCTTGACTACAGTAATTCATTAGGCTGGAGATTATGTATAAATGTTTAGGCTGGAGAAAAATCTAATTGCCATTTGTGCTCGATCTCTTTCATCATTACCACTATGATTACTGCGTGGAAGAGAAGAGACGACCAACTTAATCATCTCCTCACAACAAACCTCCAAGATTTTTATATACATTCTTCCAAGCAGAGAAGGTAGATATTTGCACATAAGACTAGAGAAATTAGGTAACTGAAAAGTAAACAAGAATAAACTACTACTAGTCTTGTAGTCCAATGAAATGATATTAGTACAACCGAGAAGAAGATAACAGCAATCAATTTTGTGGCTGAGGACCAATTTGCGGTGAGAAAAAATGGAGAAAAAGGCCTATCATAGTTTGCCACCTCCATGACGAAGAGATTTCTTGAATACTTAAAAGATTTGATGGGGTCGTCTAACCTTCCGTGCCTGAAGCTATTATTATACTGGTTTAGACTTTGGACGGCAGTTGCGGGGCAGTGCCGGTGCTGCCGGACTGTGGGCATTTTTTTATGTATGAATAGATCTTGTTATTTATTCATTTACTTGAAAGGTCACAAAGGTGATTTCTTCTCTTATTATGAGTATGGCAAGAAACTATTAAGGGTTATTAATCCACCTTGAGGTTGGTCCAACTACTTGACTGTTAAGAGGTTAGTAATTTTCAAGCTGCAACAAAACCTTTCAAGTCCATCAAATACAAAGAAGAAAAGGTCTAAAATACTACTGCTTCATCCATTTTTTTACAATGAAAAAGTGAACAGAAAAAGAAAAGCAAGAAATAAAAAAAAAAAAAAGAGAAACAAGAAAACAACCAAACAGAAGAATAAAAGGAAAAGCCCCCACCACCCCCAATTTTGTGGTCCATTGCCAATCACTAAGGCCAGCCTTTCAGCCATTAATTTTGTGGTCCACTGCAAATTCAACTTTTTTCCTTTCTTCCTACTTCCACGTTCACTCACTTGGTCTTTCGGGCGTCCCTCATACCCCACCCAGCTTGCAGTTGCCTGGTGGGTGGCTCAAACCAATTACTCTCAGGGTTAACTCCACTTTGTCCCCTCAAACTTTGGACGATTACCCACTTCAGTCCCTAAACTTCAAAATGGGACACTTAAGTCCCTAAAACTTATAAATTAGGACACTTAAATCCTTAAACTTATAAAATGGGACACTTCGACCACTAATGGCATTTAGGATTCTGTCAACAAATTTCCTAAATGCCATTAGTGGTCGAAGTGTCCCATTTTATAAGTTTAAGGATTTAAGTGTCCTAATTTATAAGTTTTAAGGACTTAAGTGTCCCATTTTGAAGTTTAGGGACTGAAGTGGGTAATCGTCCAAAGTTTGGGAGGACAAAGTGGAATTAACCCTTACTCTCATGATGTTTGCTGGGGCATGTTTACTTCGTGCTGTATTTCATCGGCACCGTCTTTGTTGCAAAAGTTGGCGTCAACTTTGCTGCACATATTGCACCTGCTAGGGTTCAAGGCATACTCTAACGTGTCTGCACAATTATCTCTTTAACACGTTTTTTTAATGGATTTTATTGGAATAAATTGAGACAAATTTGGCCCCGAAATTGAGGATATATTAGAAATTTCAAAAAAAGACACTGTGTGATGCGCTCTCCCTTTATATATTGTATAGATATCCAGATAATCATGCTTATTTTTACCTTCCATGATTCCGACACACTCCAAACTTAAGCCACCTAAAACAGCTAATGTCCTCTGTAATTCGGAGGAAGTGCCTGCGAAATAAAAGTGTTCGGAGGGGGAGGGCATAGGGCCATTGAAATTCCGTTATAACTCATTTACCTGAAAACGACCAAAAGATACTCCGAGTGAAAGTCAGGAGACAGTTTTGCCGAGGCTGCTTTCATTCTAATAAGACCAGCCAACCAAAATTGGATAAAGCCAGAGCAAGGTATTGCACAAGCTTTTACTAGATAGCCTAAAAAATTATCACACATCATGTACAACAAGATTGAAGAGTTCCCTTCCACCAAGCAAGATTAATAAGAAAAACAAAACCTAGAGTTACATATGGCCTGTCCAATCTTACATTCTCGGTTGAGATAAATCAAATACAACTCAACACCGGGGAAGGAAAACCAGATACTACCTCTTCGCACCTTTCGATTGTGCAAGCACGCGGAACAGACCCCATCCATCCATCCGGAATTTAATGGGATTTCCGCCGTGTCATTACAGCACATAAACTGAGAAGATGGACAGCTTCATCAGATTGGGCCAACGAATGATTTCCAATTTGTTCAAGATGATATTGGTTCATAAGGGTATGATAGCCATGGGTGTTTTAGAGCCTCCGCGGCTGAAGGGCGCTTCTTTGGGTTTATTTCAAGCAGATGAGCTACGAAGTCAATAAAACCTTGATCCCCCATTGGTAACCGATGCCTTAAGGATGTCTTTTTCGGAATCAAGTATTCAAGTCTGTTGGTCTCCTGAAAAAAGTATGCAATTTGAATGAGTGAAGGTGGGAAAAAATGGACCTGCTGTGGCATGCATGCTCGTATAGGACTTGAAAAGAATAGGATGATACAGCTTCATATCTTAAAAGAGGATACCAAATACAAAGAAAAAAATCGACATGACTACGCATGCTTTTTCTAACCTGCTACCAGGATCTACGACAACAGAGAGTTCCACTAATAACCACCCAAAAAGAGCTCTCTCCATTTAAGAAGAAAACAATTGGATACAGGACCAAGAATATTCATAATCATGAGATTTCAATCTAAAATCTTCATAATTTTATATCACTCTTCACGCTGTAAAGAAAAACGATCAGTTACTTTGGTCTATCACGTGTTCAAGGCCTGCCACAGTTAGTTCATAATAAATATGCAAATAAAACTTCAAACGCAATGTACTTGAATAGTTATCATGAACTTCCTGTCCCATAGAAGCAATAGGGGTTGCACCATATAAAATTTATCATAAACCTGATCATTCATAATAACTTCTTTTTAAATAAAGGACATGGACAAAACCAGGTAAAAAATACCATCGAAGTTGTAACAAAATTTGATCTTGATTATGCAAAAGGAAAATTAAACGTGAGATGAATATCATGGACTCACTACAAGAAGGAAGAAGAATTCTGAAAGGGGAAGTGTAAATATAAATTGTAAGTGTAATCCCATGTCCGTCAAAACCGTTGAAAGAAACATCAAAAAGGAAAAGTTACCACTTCTGATAAATTGCTTTTCTACATTTTCATTTCATTTTTTTCTTTTTTTGTTGGGGAGGTTGGGGGGGAGGAGGGTGCAGTATCCAAAGCACCAACATATTATTGGTCCAGTATACTCTACATACAAGTGAAGATGTGGTGAGGGGTTGAATGTGAGGTACTACCTGATTCCGCTCATAAAGCATGTGATTTTTTGTAAAGTATTTGTATGTATCTCGTCCTTTGGCAAGCATCTCCTGTTCAATGGATCCGATAATCCCAATAACTCGAGCAAGTAAAGTTGCAGGAGAATCATTTTGAAAGAGGACCTACAAGGCAAACTAGAATGGTTAAGAGCACAAAGATTTCCACCAAAACAAGTCAGATGAAAAGATAATCAAGCAAATTAAATTTTAACATAAGGCAGCCACAGCATTGTTAAACAAAAATAAGATCTCAAGTCATCTATGACAAGCTTTTAGCAGTATATTTATGCAAATTAACCAAGAGACATAAACAAAAAAAACAAGTCAGATGAAAAGATAATCAAGCAAATTAAATTTTAACATAAGGCAGCCACAGAATTGTTAAACAAAAATAAGATCTCAAGTCATCTATGACAAGCTTTTAGCAGTATATTTATGCAAATTAACCAAGAGACATAAACAAAAAAAAGTTAGGGGAAGATCTGAGAAAACGCTAGTCCTAAAATTCTCTTTCTCACACTCATCAGAGCTAAATACTCAAATTCATGTCCCAGCCCTTCATACTTGCTTTAGATGTTCAGTATGAAGGCAATGTTTTCATACAATATGGATATGTTATGGCAACATAATTTCTGATGTGCATAACCAATCTCCAATGATCATGTACCTTGAGAATTTTCTGCAAGAACCTCAGACACCACTATAATATGTTAATGTACCTGCATTTTAGTCCTAAAAGGTAGCTATTATGATTTTGCAAGTCTATTAACTCTATTTTTAGATTGCTACTGAAGGATCTACATGCTGCTTTACTAACATAAGGGATTTAGTGTTGATTTTGTCAAAACACAACAGTCGAGTGCAATTAACAGTAGTAGTACTTAAAAAACCTATAAAGTCAGCAACAAGCATACATACATTATAAGTATTAAGTTCACATTGATGCACACATGGACATGTACGTGCATGAAGGAGGGAGGCAAAGAAAATGCGACCACCACCACATCAGAACCTTTCAGGTATTGTTCCTCATCCTAAGTTTTGGCCATCTTACATTCTTATGTTAAAATCCTCCAAATTCAATTTTCTGACTCAATAACCAATTCCCTCTATTACCAAGAGGCCAAAGTTTGGCTAGAAAAGCTTTTGGATGTGGATGGCAAAATCTACTAGCTTTTTCCTTTCAGAAATATATGGTTCCAGTCTAACATGTAACGTTGTCCTAATCATGGAGATTGCGCTCAGACTCAGTTCTTCACATAGTTTTTCCTCCCACAACTTTTAGGACAAAAAATAACCTAACAAACCTTCTAGCAGCTTTCATGAATCACTTCATAACAGCTTTAAAAAAACTAACAAGCAAGAACCTGACAATCATAATTAAAAGGAGCTTT